TCCTTTTAGTGTAGAATGTAGTGGTAGCCAGGCATCGTCTCTTTCTTGTAGTCTCAGAATTGTGGAGGCTAATGATTGTGCGATTGATTAATCCCTTGGACTAATTGAAAACGAGCTTTGGTTTTCTTCTGTTTCTTTTTTTTTGCATCACTATCCTGGTGTGGTGCTGTAGGATAAAGTGCTGGACCACAAGGTCAGTATGAACTGTGAGGGTGGTGGCTCAAACCCAGCAGCCGTTCCTCGAAAACCCTGTATAGGATTGCTATGAGTCAGAGCTGACTCTATGGCACTAACAACAATAACATCCATTTTCAAATCTTTTTTTCCCTCTCTCTCCTTTCTTTTTCTTTTTGTTTCCCACCTTCTTTCTTGCAAAATCACTCTTGGGGAATATTTTTCAGGTCAAAATGAGAGCAGAGTCTGATAGGGCTACAAGAGAATTTCTTGTGCCAAGAGAAGAGGGGCTGACGGGAAAAGTGGGTAATGGTTATAACACAAATTCCCCTCTAGTACCAACAATTTGTGATGTCACTGGCCATACATTGTTACATATTCATTTTTTTATTGGTTTCCAGTTTAGAGAGTGGTTGTTGTTAAGTGCCGTTGAGTGTGTTCCAACTCACATCAACCCTGTATAGGGTTTCTGAGGAGTGGCTGATGAGCTTGAACCTTGCAGTTCAAACTGATTTTGCAGTTCAGCACATTAACCCACAAGCACCACACCAGGACTCCACATAGGGGTCCCTATGAGTTGGAATCCACACAACAACAACAAAGACTAGTTGGGGAGTCGTTGGTTTTAAATAATGGATTTCACATACAGATGAGAAAACTAAGTCCAGGGAGGTGAACTGATTTACAATCAAATTACACAGCTAGAATTAGAATCTAATTAGAATTAGAATTATATCTGATTCCCCAACAACTTCAGCCTTTCACTACATTTTGCTGGTTTCCAAGATAAGTTATGACAAAAGAAAAACCATTATTTTGAATGAGAGACACTCCAGCACTTTGAAATGCAAAATAGAAGTTGTTATTTCAGTATTTGCTGTTTTATTCCTTTGAGATCACCCAGCCTTGTGACATTGTTCTATTTGAAGGGAGGGGTAGTTTCATACCAAGCTCTGAGCACTGTTACAGATATGATGGCAGTCAAGCAAAACAACAATAAGGAAAAATAAACAAAATTGTATGTGTATGGACTCTGTAGTTAAACTGCAGAGTGTAGGGAGCATCGTCCAGTTTTTGGAATGGAAAACTTGACACTAATCCAAATACTGGGACTTCATAAACACCATGACTCTCTAGGAATTTTGCCCTGTCTCATAAAGCTCTGTCCTACAAGTAATCCATTACTATTTTAGAAAAAAAATTAAAATATAGATAAGAAAAAGAAGGAAAAAAAAATCACCATCACTTGAAGGTTCCCCGCATATATCCTTCTAGTCTTTTTGATGTGTGTATTTTATGTAGCAACCCTAGCTTTGAAAGTGACAAATCAAACATTGTCTATCTAACTCCAAATCAAATGATGCCAGATCAAATGATGGCAGCTTATTTTTCCTTGGTTTTCAGTCTACCACAGCTGAAACTGAATTGTGCATCACGAGAATGTCAAATGAAAGCCACCAATTATGCTTTTTAGTAAGAAGCAAAGTGAATATTTATTGCTCAGATGATGGAATCTGGAGTGAATGGAGTGAAGAACAATGCTGGAGAGGTATGAGATAAAAGAAAAGTAACCAAATATCTGGAGCTATTTGCTAGCAAATTTAACTTTGTGTATTTTACAACTATGGAAATCAAAATTCCCTTGTTTACCAACAGGGACGATACATTAACAATCACTTCCACTGAACGTAGATTTATTGAAAAATCTAATATTTAGTTAGAACTCAGTGCCTTGTTATACTTCTATTATCAACATTCTTGTTTTTCCTGTCAGAAAAGAGAATCCTTGTGTATTCTTTTATCATTCTGTTATGAAAAAATAACAAAGTCCTATTTAAAGCAAAATCATATCAGAAAATAATTGTGCTCTGGGAAATTATTTGGTTTCCTAAATGAAAGGAACAAATGTCACAGTTCAGTCAAGTAGTTGCTTTATGCTAGTTTGCAAAATACTTTTTGAGTTGAAACATAAATTGTATTCAATGTTTTTTACTTTCCATTTTCAAGAGAACAAGTCTTTCCTTAAAGCAGTAATAGGTCAACATACACTTGTACTAGTGTCTAATACTCTGCCTAAGGAATAGTTTTCTAATTAAGATACCATGGTAATTAAATACATGTGCCATTCACTTCCAACACTGATTTTGAATGATTTATAATAAAGGCATATATTGAAATTAAATAGAAATAGAAGCTTAAAAACCTAGAGCATGAAGAAACCATGATTGTTCTTCACAGCTTTAGCAATGGATTACTGATACATGTTCAGAGCTGGATTGCTAAGTGCTGTCAAGTCTATTCTGACTCAAAACTACCCTGCATAGGGTTTCCAAGGAGCAGCTTATGGGTTTGAACAGCTGACCTTGCTTTTCAAACTGACCTTGTGGTCCAGGACTCCATATAGATGTGATGGTGGTGCGCCGTCGAGTCAGTTCCAATTCTTAGCAACCCTGTATAGGGTTTCTGAGGCTGTAAATCTTTACAGGAGCAGAAAACCTCATCATTTTCCCACAGAACAGCTGGTAGGTTCAAACTGCTGACCTTGAGATTAGCAACCTGACTCAGTCTAGGAAACCCCATGGGGCAGTTCTGTTCGGACACAGTGGGTCCCTATCTAATAATAACAACAAGACTTCTGAGTCCCACTCACAGCCACCCTATAGGACAGAGTAGCTTAGAAAAATGACTACCAACTTGAATTTACAGAACGAGTCCTGATGGTTATTCATTGGATAGAAACCCTTCGTAGGGTCACTATGAGTTGGAAGTGACTTGATGGCACACAACCATCAACACTGTATATCAGACTCCTGTCAGACACTGAGAATACAGCAGTGAAGAAGTCTCTGCCCTCATGGAATTTTATTTTATTTATATTTTATTCCTGGGTTAGGTTAAGATGGAATCTTGGTGTGGTGCTGTAGATAATCACTGGCCTGCTAGCCACAAGGTCAATTATTCAAACCAACCAGCAACTCCTTGAAAATCCTATACATGGTCGACTATGAGTTGGAACTGACTAAAAGGGCACTTAACAGCAACAACAAAGTAGAGATGGACAGTAAATAAAGAAGTTAAATATGTCATATAATCGCGATGGGGTATGGAGAAAAATTAGGTCAAGAGCCTCAATCAACCAAAACATATAGGAAACCAGGAAAACACTGCTTAAAAAAGTCTGGAGACTCTTTGGAACTGAAATTGGGTAACTAACTTCCTAAACTGTATTTAGTGAGAAGTCAGCACTTAGTTTCAAGTGGATCTGGTAAAAATGTTGTTATTAAGTGCCTGGCATTGTTCTGCCTCATAGTAACCCTTTATAGGGTCTCCGAGGAGTGACTGGTGAGCTTGAACAGCCAGTCTTGCAGTTCAAACCGACCTTGTGGTCCAGTGCTTACCTGCGATGCTTCACCAGGACTCTTTACAAATTTTTAGCCAGGTCCTCAAAGTGTATATCCTTTTATATGCTTTATATACCATCTTACCAATGATGTTGATTACTGGGATTTCGTTTGTCCTAAGGAGCATCTCTTGGTAGAATTGTAAGGAGTTTGAGATTAGAAACAAAGAATTTCTTGCTCTCTGCAGCAGCATCTAAAATAATACAAACATTTGACATATTGATAATTATGAGGTACTCAGGATATGGCTTATCTAATCCTTAGGTTATTGTTTTATAATTTTGTTATGAAAAAATAACAAAGTCCTATGTTAAGCAAAATCATATCAGAAAATAATTGTGCTCTGGGAAATTATTTGGTTTCCTAAATGAAAGGAGAAAATGTCACAGTCCAGTCAAGTAGTTGCTTTATATAATAAGTGGACAAATTAAAGGGATATCATACTCAAAATACCTCTGGTATGTATCACTGCACTAGTAACTATGGCAGCATTTGCCAAGATTTACGTGGCTTTCCACCATTTCCTATGATATTATTTATAAAATAATTCCACTTCAAAAATACTTATAAACCAACCTCTGATCCTTCCCCCTTTTTGTGATTTTTAATCCTAGGTGACATATGGAAGGAAACGTTCATATATTTCATGTTACCATTTGGTTTTGTCTCATTATTTGTTTTGTCAATAACTGTACTGCTTTTGTATAAACAAAGAGCTTTACTTAAAATGGTAAGTTGTATAATATAATAATGTTTAGTCTGGAACTGAGTAGATAACCAAAAATACTTTGCATTTAGAACAGATGGACCTACATTTTATATTGCTTCCATATTGTTAAGGTGCTTGGCTGTCTTTTGGATATTGGCTTCTCTTGCTTGCTTACTATTGTAAAATATACATTTAAGTGGGATATAAAGGAATATTGGGAACTATGATTATAGAAAGCTTGTAAGTCCATCTTCAGCCTATGACTGATTGGGTTAGCTAAAAAGATTACTAGGAGTCCTGGTGTGGCACTGTTGGTTAATGCGCTGGACTGCAAAGTCAGTTTGAACTGCAAGGTCGGCGGTTCAAGCTCACCAGCTGCTCCTAGGAAACCCTACACAGGGTCGCTATGGGTCAGAACTGACTCAACAGCACTTAACAACACAACAACAAAAAGGGTACTAGAATTTGCCTGGTGAAATAGGCTTCTTGTTAAGCCTTTGTAGAGTGTGAAACCTTAGGCAGAATCCTGAGCCCCATCTAGAACCTTCTGAGGTGGGACATTCCCACTTGAAAAAAACATGCAGACCAACCTGGAGTGGCTAGAGGAACAGAAGATACTTATTGAATGAAAGACCAGCAAAGGAAAAAAAAAAAATCAGACTGTTTAGCTCTTATAAGAACAAGCAAGCTGTTTGCCTGGGAAGCATCAGGCAAGAAAAGTCAGCCCATAGGACAAACCCCTTTGAAACTCAAAGGGAACACATGAGCCATCTTGTAAGCTCGTTGGCGACCACCTTGATCTACTTGTAAATGGAAGTGGGGGAAAGGCAGTAATGAAGACATGGGCTGATGTCCAATGCATTTCATAGACTCCTGTCAACCTTGAGATGAGAGAGAAGAGGAAGAGCTGGTTGGTCCGAAGTTTGGGGAGACTTGGAAACTCCTGAGTCCATGAACACTGACCTAGCCACTGGGGTCTAGAGCTGAGAGTGAAGCGGTCAGCTGACCGGAAGTGGGGGAAAGCACACATGAGTGCCCAAACTTGCATATAGTACCCATTTGACCTAGCTTGGATGGCTTGCTGATCAGAACTTGTCTAGAAGTTGAACACTGTGGATGTTCCAATGATGTTGTATAGATTATGATGATATCTTAAAACATATATAATTTAAATTTAACCCTAAAAGGATATCTTTTGGGATGGATTTACTTTTGTCCAAATAGAAGAAAAATATTTCTCTCTGCATTAGGAATAGTATAAGGAAAGAATTACAGAAGAAAAGTAGGATTAGGAGAAATCAAAGAGTGATTTAAAGCAGATATAGATTGGGACATATTTGTAACATGGTGGTGGTGATGTGCCCGCGGAGTCGGTTCTGACCCATAGCAACCCTGCATAGTGTTTCTGAAGCTGTAAATCTTTACAGGAGCAGAAAGCCTCATCTTTCTCCCACAGAATAGCTGGTAGTTTCGAACTGCTGACCTTGAGGTTAGCAGTCCAACTCGTAACCATTAAACTACCACAGCTACAGGCAAAAGATCACAGTCAAAATTCCAAAATGAAGTACCTGTCCTCCAGGAACTCACTTTGTAGTTGGAGGAGACAGGATACATGTAAAACTAAAACCTGCATTGTAGGATGATTATAGATGATAGCTTTATGAGGGAGACAGATAAGGGAGAGATCACTGCAGGGTGGTGGGCTTGAAGGAGTTGTGAATTAGAGAAAATGATCTTTTATTATGGATATAAATATGAATGTATAAGAAATGATTCACTTTATTTATTTTGCTAATGTTTTTTGCCTATTTCTCTGAGTTATTAATCCCCAGTGAATTGGTTTGTGTGGTTAATGACTAATTGTTAATAATGGTGCTCTTACTTAATTTCAGATTTTTAATGCGACTGCACAAGATTTTACTCAGCAAGAAACAATCTGCTGATTCACCGGTCTACTAACACTGCCAGTTGTCAAAGACAAAATTTATTAAAGTGATTTTCCTTAAAATGTTAAGTGTATCTTTTTTTTTTTTTTTTAAAGCATTGTTATATTTAAGTAGGTTTTAGTACTTTAACCCTCATTATGAAATTTGCTAGACTCTATTAACATGGTTTTTTTTGCTCATAAATCCCTGGTGAGAGTCCCGCCTGTAGAGAAATCAAGAGGTAGGTCAGAGTTGATTCAATGATGTGTTAATAAAACAATGCAATTTTATAATTTGCTCTAAATCATAGACACACTGCCAAATCTTGGAAAGTGAGATTCTGGTTTGTTCAAATTAAACTGAAGATGAGTGTGTTTACTATGCGTAAGATCATGCCCCCATTCTGCTTTAAAAAAAAAAACAAAAAAAACTTTATTGTGAATTGAGTGAAGGATTCCAGAGCAGACCATCAGTTTCACACTTGATAAACCGTACACCTCTTTTCATCTCTACAGCCATCCCTCAATGTAACATTATTTATTCCATTTCCTCCCTGTGTTTCCTGTTTTCATTCCTCCTTCTTTCCCTCCCCTTCTGAATTTTGTCTTTAGGTAAATGATGCTCTTTTGATCTCAAATGTTTGATCATTCGACAGTGTGCATATCTTAGTGTTTTGTCCTCTTTAAAAATCTATTTGTTGCTTGCCTGAGAATTGAGCCATGGAGATGAGTTCATTTCCAGAGCTGAAGGGTGACCAAGGGCCACAGACTTAGGGTTCTATCAGTCTCTATCTGACCAGTAAGCCTGTTTTTTTTTTTTTTTTTCAGTTGGGTTCCACATTTTCTCCTACTCTATCCAGGACTTCCTAATGTGATCTCTTTCAGAGCAGTTGGTAGTGGCAGCCTGGCACCATCAAGTTCTTCTGCACTCTGGGCTGTGGAGACTTATGTTCACAGGATTCATTAGTCCATTGGGCTAATTGTTTCAAAGTGTCTTCAACCATGAATAAGATTTTTAAAGCAACCCATGGGGATGATTAATAGGAAACAAGAAATTTTTAATATATTCATAGTCCTAGAGTTTTTCATAGTTCATAAAAGAAAAAAAAATATATAGTGCTTAAAAGGATAATAATGGATAAACAACTAGAGACCATAATTGAAAATCAGATGTCACAAACTATACACTAAAAGTTTTCCCTGCTAGTTGGCAGCCATCATTTCCTACTTTCTGATGGTGTGAATTTATTTTAGATTCGGGAACCAAAAGGAAAAAGCTTTTAAAATTAGTAGGATGCCTTTAAAAAAAAAAACAACTACATCCAACCCTTCAGTTTAATGAAAAGTTGACTTCTAGGATAGAAAATGGCTACACAGGTATGGACAGCTACTTTACATTTAAGGAATAATGGACTATGAATTGTAATCAAGAGTAAAATTTTCATTTGGACCAACTCTTACTTGATATTATTCAGAGCATCACTACTATTGGCTTCACTGACCAACCAATAGTTATGTGTTGGGGAATACTGACACAGTGGTTAAGGCACACAGTTGCCATAATGTAAATCATGGTTTCAAATCCATGAAAGCAGTCTGCTTCTATAAAGATTTACAGCCTTGGAAGCCCTATGGGGTAGTTCTACTCTGTCCTATAGGGTTGCTGTGAGTCAGAAATGACTGCATAGCAGTGGATTTGGTTTTTGTTTGGTGTCAGGTTATCTCCTGGGAGCTTGTTAGATAAGTAGGGCTCAGGCTCTCATCCAGGCCTACTCAATTAACAACCTGCATTTTAACAACATCCCTAGGTTTTCATATTTGCACATTCAATTTGAAAAGTGTTGATTTGGCAAAACCATCTCTAAAAAGAGAAGAAAAGCTAAAATTGATCAGTGATCTATAACATCATCTTTTACTGTCACTTGAAATCAATGAACAGATGTATTAATTCTTCCTAAGTAGACCTGTCCTTGTGAAACATTAAAACTTTTGTGATAATACGAATTACGATACAAACTGGGTTTACTAAAGTTCTTAGTGTGTTGGAGGAGGGATTGGGAAGGGAAGAAAGAATATGGTGGTGAGTAATCAAGGCTGGGGAGAGAAATGACAGTAAACACTATCTTTGGAGACTAAGGTATGTCTTGGAGACCCAACATGTCAATTTACCTGTTCAGAACATGCATAACAAACTGTACAAATCAAAAGATTTATGGAGTAGCTTGCATAAACATAAAAATCCCTATCACTCCATCAATGCAGATATGACAACCAAGTGACACTAAATCTGAACAGAGTTGGAACTTGTAAAAAGATAAGTAGAACTCGTGGCCTTATAAATGTATAAGTTTATCAGTTTTTCAATAATGTGACCCCAATTTTTATACAATTGGATTTCTGAGCTCCATTATTTTTACATTAAATGGAGTTTAAAGTATTGAATATTTCCCAAATGCATGAAATACAAACAGTACCCTGAATTAATCTCCCTATGCACTGTCAATCTGTCAATCTGTCTTCTTCCTCCTGGGGCTGCTGTAAATCCTCATTTTGAAATCCTCTTCCAAGATCTCCCAAGATCTAGCAACTAAGGTATAATACCTGCCACAGCAATCATCTTCCAGGAACCTACTCAAAATCAGCAGGGCTAGTTTCTAAGTATAATGAAAATCATTACCTTCACATGTTACACTAAACATATCCACTTAATGCAAAGGTTGAAAATAAAGAGGAAAAGAAGAACAAAATGATATAAAACATTAAAAACCAAAGATAAAATTGACTTTGCAAAACTAATTATGTTGATACTAACATAAAATGTGAATAAATCAAATAATTTAAGCAGACAGACATTTTCTAACTGGATTAATAAGATCCAACTTTAATAGGGGAATGTGGTGGCACTGGTGAATAAGCACTAGATTATCAATCACAAGGTGGTTGGTTTGAGCCCAACAACTGCTCCATGGGAGAAACATGAGGCTTTCTTCTCCTACAAAGATTTACAGCTTCTGAAACCCAATACAGGGTCTCTCTAAGTTGGAACCGACTTGATGGCTCTTAACAGTAACAACTTGTTATTATCAGAGATATATATGAGATTCAAAGTTGTATTTTATATGTATATATTGTTGCTGTTGTTAAGTACCATTGAGTCCGTTCTGACTCACGTAAGTTAAGCAAGAGGACCAAAAAGATATATACCATGAAAACATCAATCATGAGGTTGAATTGACTATATCAATACCAGACAGAAATTATTCTTATATAAAAATGCTAATAGGATTATTTCATAATGATAAAAGACTCAACCCACCAGGAATCTATAACAATGGTAAACAAAAGTGCTCCTAAAATGAAAAGACCCACAATACATGAAGGAAGAAATAACCCATTCAACAGTAATAAAAATACTTCAAAAGTACGCTTTAATCAAAATAGAACAGCTATGCAGAAGATTAATAAAGAAATGGAATACTTGAACCATGGTATAACCAATCAGACCTAATAAGAAACTCAATCCAAGAACAGTAGAATTTACATTTTTCTTAAGAACACATGGAGCACTTTCCAGGACACACCATATTCCAGGCCATAAAATAACCCTAAATAAATTTTAAAATATTGAAATCACACAAAGTATGCTTTCTGAATAAAATGGGATGAAAATAACAGTAAATTTGTGAAATAAACAAACATGGAAATTAAATAATTCATTCCTAAAAAATCAATGGGTTAAAGAATGAATTACAATAAAAAATAGAAAATACTTGTGAAGCCACAGCTAGTTAAAGCAACTTTGTTTTCTTTGCAAACCACTGCTGGCAAAAACAATCTTTTTTGTTGTTCTTTCTTTCCTCTGCAAGGAAAAGCCTTGAAGCTGCAGCTGGCTAAAAAACTCGTATGCAAGCAAAAAGTCATTAATATTAGTCCTTACTTACACCTCCTTGTAGATAAGCCAGTAGTTAACTCCCACTCCAAGGGCTAAGACAGGAATGAAGGAAAACAACAGTACAGCTCCGGTGGGAACCCCTAAAAAGTGCCAGTGAAGTGAGAAATGGTGTGCCTGTTAGAGACAACATATCTGGAATGGACAACTCGACCTGAGATAAACAGAGCAACTAAGAAGTTCCTGAAATTTCTTGGACCCCATGCCCAAGATCCCTATAAATTTCCCTTGCTCACTCCCTTTGTTAAAACAGTCTTTAGAGGACATGCAGTCCCTCTGAGTCCTGTATACTAGTATACATTAAATCTTACCACACCTCTGTCTGGTAGTAATTGAATTCCCTGTGGGACAAGCAGCACAAGTCCACCACTGATGGCAGTATTTTGAAATGAATGAAAACAAGAGCACACTATATTAAAACACGAGATGCGGCTAAAACAGTGCTTAGCAGGAAATTTATAACTGTAAAAATATATATTTAAAAAGAAGTAAGATCTCAAACCAATAAACTAACTTTCCACTTAAAGACATTAGAAAAGAAGAGCAACTAAAGCTAAAGCAGAACATAATAAATAATAAATATTAGAGCAGAAATTAAATGAAATTGCGAATAGGAAAACAAAAGAGAAATTGTTGAGATCGAGAATAGGAAAACAAAAGAGAAAGTCAACAAACCAAAACTGGTCATTAGAAAAGATAGATAAAATTGACAAACCTTTAGCTAGACCATTAAAAAACAAAAGAGAGAGAAGACTCAAATTACTAAAATCAGTCATGAAAAAGCAGAAATTCTAACAGACACCAAAACCAGCTTCATCAAGGGCTCCCAAGAACTACTTCCAGATTGAGTGCCCTGAACATAGAAAACAACGAGTCCAAAAGTGACTCAGTCCAGGGCCAACAACTCTGCTGTCACATCCCTTCCACAACTGCCTCATGAGTTCCTTGAGTTGCAGGAGCCCACGAGAAATTTCTTCCCTTTGCGTCCATCAACTGCACTGTTTGTTTTTCCAAATATGACAACCTCACAAGCCACAGAGACAACAAACAATTTTAGCTCACATGAAGAA